AGCCTCTTTCACCTACCTAAGCAGCACTTTTTCAACTACAGGTGGCGACAGAGACGAGGATGTCAGAGCCAGCCACGATCGGAAAGTCTGCAAGACAGTCTTCCACTAACCTGAAACCAGTGTGCAGGTCTGCTATACTCAGCACACAGTGTGAACAACATCAGGATTTTCAACACCAACATCAGTCAATTCAGTGCTGCTATGTGATGGTTAAGAAACTTGGCACTTTACGAAAGGGATTTCCAACAAACTACAGATATCCATCAACAGCTGCTGCCTACGCTCACTCGTTACTGAAGCTGAGATGGCCAGAATAATGAGAAAAATAGGCAACGAGGAAATCTGGCTGACTGACTGGCTGGCAACGAGCCAACCAGGAAGGAATCTGTCACTCAATATATATGCATCGGAAGGAAGTGGAGATGGATTGGGTATACACTGAGAAGGCCGACTGGTGACATCACGCATCAGGCCAGTGCTCGAGTGGAAGGAACCCAGATGGGAAGCGACGAGTTGGGTGTTTGAGGTGAGGGTGAGGGTGACATGGAGGAGGTGGTGTGAGGAAGAAATGAGAGGTTGTGGGCAGTGGTGGAGCCAGTTTGGAAAGATTGTAGAGAAGAGAGTGTAATGGAGGTGTGCTACTGAGGCCGTATGTTCCACTAGGAACCCAAGGGACAAATAATAATAATAAAGACACAACAAAGCCTTAAGTTCAACTTTTAATTCGAGCCGTCATTGGTTGCCACTTTTTATCTGCATTTTCCAATAACCTGGCCTAGTGATCACAATGAGATCCTTAGAACACAAACGATGATCTTAACATCTATGGTTAGAAGTTTACAGTGGTTATCATCAACTTAACAAACTTCATTTGACATCGTGGTTTGAAAGGATTTATGCAACCATTGAAGACTAAGCAGCACTAAGTGACAGTCTTTCCTTAGTCTAAAACTCTCCTCACCAGTAAAAATTTTAAGGAATAAGTTCAACTGAACTGAGTTCATATGTTCATACAACAGGCCATGAACCAAACCTCTGTAATACTATCCAGTTGTCTTAGGCGATAAATCATTCCCAAGCACTTCTTACACCCTTAGTCTTCAAGCCTAATGCTAAATATTACAATTAAGCCATTAGGCTGAAACTTTATCAATTACGTATCTCATTCGTAACACATTCGTTCTTAAGACCTGAAATTAATTGATCCTATACAATATGATGTCAGTGTTCAACATCAATAAAGGATTTCCATATTTTTCGAAAGATAACATTCATGATAACGACTATATGAAAAATCAGTTTTAAAAAAACCGTCAACGTATATCTGTGACAGCTTTAAACCTCCAATAAAATAAAACCAGCGGTAAATTAAGCATTTTTGAAGAAAATCAAATTACACTATTTCCTCTAAAACTCATTCTGTCTTGGTTACTTCAAGAAGAGAATTCATACATACAGTGAATTTATGGTCATCTTTTTCCTTATCATCAAAGTTTTCATGATAAAAACTGTATTTTTTTTCTTATCTTTCCGTTTCTAGACTTTGTATGTCAGTATACCAGTGTAATGTGCTTAACAAGAGTCAAGTTTCCATTCAACCAGAAAACAATATTGGGAGTCTGGAAGCACTCGATAGCTGATTCGTTATAGTATGGTGCCACTTAATGCTACGCACCCATGATTCCGCCAGGGATCAAACCCAGAACCTTCAGGTTTGGCGGCCAGCACGTAACTATTGAGCCAATTGGTGTCAGTCCATGATCAATACCGACCTGAAATCAACAAAATCCAGCAAGCTTCCAAAATGAATTAACCTAGTGCATACTAGTGATTCTCTTCGAGAGATAATTCCCGAAGTTCCAATGAGAAGTGGTGGGTGGGGTCAGTCAAACCGGACATGAACACAGTCATGCAACAAGTATATTGGATGAATGTCCCCCCTAAAACATGAACTGACCGAAGTAGGAAATATGAACCAACAAATTCCGACTCATTGGCTCAATGGTAACGTGCTGGCTGAGGAGTCTGAAGGTCCCGGGTTCGATCCCTTAAGGTGCAGAGTCATGAGTCCGCACTGTTGAGGAGTTCCATGAGAGAATGAAAAAGCTGCTCCAGTGTCCTGTAACTGGTGTCAGTCCATAATGAATGCCAACCTAAAATCGACAAAATCCCCACAGGCTTCCAAACAGGAAATAATAGTTTAGTAGCAGAATAGAATGCAGACGGGAACTGATGTTCTCCAATATGCTGTCTGTGTTATGACAGATGAACACCTAAGAATTTCAGTTTAACCAGTCTGACTTCTAAAAATGGCAATGCTTCATAAAATAAATATTTGTTATGTGAAGATCTGGTTAAAGGTGGTTATGGAGACCTGTGACAATGTTTGAAGTGGAATAAAAATGTTAGATATTGACTATCAAACAGAAATGACAAATCCTTTCTTAGACTAGCGTTCCTGAAGTCGATGTAGACACTTCCGCCGTTATGTCCCTTTTTACTCCCTTCCTCTTCTTATTAATTCATCGTAGAAGCATAGTTCATTCAACAGACATTCAATGCAAAACTGCTGGGTATTTCTAGCATCAACAAATATATAAAATAAAATGATACCCCGTCGATTCCTTATATATATATATATATATATATATATATATATATATATATATATATATATATATATATATACCTTTAAATCTAAGTATCACAGAACCTGGCACCACGACTACCCATCAGCTTTCATTTCTTCCTCACATGATCTCCTCCATGTCACCCTCGACTCAGACGCCCAACTCGTTGTTTCCCATTTGGGTTCCACTCAAGGGTCTGGCCTGACGAGTGATGTCCCCGAACCGTCTTCTCAGTCTATATCCAATCCATCTCCACTTTCTGCATATTTGTTGGGCGACAGTTTTTTGGTCGGTTTGTTGCCAGAGTAAGTTCCTTGTTGCTTATTATTTCTGGCCTTCTAATCTGATTTTGAATATCGAGTAAGCGTAGGTGGCAGCTGTTAATGTATCTCTGCAGTTTGTTCGAAGTGCTTTTCGTAACACACCTATTTTGCTGAGACTAATTAGTAAATCTATCTGTCAGTGACATTAGTCGATAAATATGGATGTACTTGTTCCTACAGAATTGAGTACATAGATATCACAACCACAGAAAGGTCACAACCCTTTCACCAGCACTTCTTAGCACAATTACGGACATGGGAAGCGCTAACCAACTAACAGCTCTCCTTTAGACTACACTGCATGCGTTGATCACTAAAAAAATTAACCGACTAAAATTCTTATCGATGTTTTTCTGACTACATAAACTCAAGTCATCTTTGAACATAGAGATGCTTCATTTATCTTCTTCCATTCCCATAGTTCCAGGGTTAATAATTTTGTAGTCTTTTTAAGATAGTAGTTGTAGAAGATGCGCTGGATCGTGCGCTTAAAATGGTCGAGAATATTTGCAGCTCAAGTGATTGGTCTTGGTTGCATTACGTTCTCCGAGCTAGGTTGTTCAATCGTGAAGCTTTCATTGTCCTTCTAGACAACATCAGCAGAACTGATAACTTTAGTATGAACTGTGAGCTATTTGTATTTCTCTGTGTGCGATTCAATACCTTGTTCTGAAGAAGTCGTTTGCAACTGATTGTTTCTTTTGATTGTTGTGTCATTGACTCCGTAGGTCTTCTAATTGGCTGTCTCTCTACCTGACCTCTGACCTTGTAGTTGTCTATCATAATGTCTTAATGACTCAAAGTACAAGTTTTTATTTTGTTTTTAAACAGAGTAATTAAGAAGTGACTGCACCTTATTTAATGACGGCAAACTGCTACTTGTTCCCAGAGATTATCAAGTAATTGTGAAACTTCAACAAACGATATCATCCAATGAGTAACATACCTTCATGCTGTTCTGTGGAGAAAGCCTTCAACTTTCAATTCACTAGACCCACATGTTACTAACCGGATTCTATATGGGAATCACATGGCCAGCGATTTTAAACTATCACTTAACTATATCAAGTTACGATGTATCCTTAATCATAACTTTAACTTGATGAGCAGAAATATTATGAAGATAGGACACAGTATTATTGTTTAAATTTCCAAGTAACCACTAGAATAAAAATTTATGATAGTCTTTATCACAGACAGTCACTAATATTTACTAGTGAGAACTTAAGTAGTTACAGACGTCAGGCTGATGTGCAGTATTTCGTCAGCCATATCAGAGTGATCTAAATACTGGACTGCCGCTCCGCTCTTCTGAAGTTCAGCTCATCAATAGTGTACCCGGACATATTCAGCTCAGAGAGTCAACTTCTTCAGATCTTGTGGATCTGGCTTCCATGGACCAGTATGCTTTTAATAGGACGATCGCTTTGCAAATGCCTTGCAAATCGGACGGGACACGTTGAGTAATTTTTCAGCTTTCCAACTATAGTTTCAATAGGGTTTTCATTGGAAACCACCCAACTAAGATCATAAGGTGTTATCTCTGGCATAAATGTCTCATGAACTAGCAAAGTATCCTAATACTGAAGAACTTTAGTGACTGAGAACCATTTAGGCTGATCTGTAGATTTCACCACTGAAATTCGCTGAAATACTAATAAGTGTGATGTTTCACAGAAAAGAGAACAATTCGATGGCGACTACTGAGAGTTAAAAAGAGGTGCAATATCAACTTACTGTCTATTTGAAAGCATTTTACAGTCATAAACCTTGGTTAAACTTACGACTTTCAAATTTCTCCATTATTTTGTCATTTTTCGACCATTATTTACCTTCATTTGAAAGGTAAATTCTCAACAATGGCAACAAGTGATATCTGCATCATATCAAGAGGTTGGAAAATATCACTTATTAGGTTAAATACACGTCAAGTTCTTAATACCATTAATACTTTCTACTGAAATCAGAGAATGAAGTTATACATGTAATCGACAAAAAATGTTCTTAACAACGTCATTCCATAGGGCTAAATAATCACAAAACTCACATGAATAAGCAGATATTGTATATCCAAATATGAATGTTGAAAATCCAGCTGGTACGAAACGAACAGCTCCAATAACTAACAGACTGAGTACTAATTAGAATAAAAACGAACAGAATCATTATGAAATTTAGTAGACACAATTCATATCGCTGAAACGATGTGCGTTTAAAACGTATGAAAATAACTTCAGTTGAACAAGTCACATTCACTTGCCAATTCATTTTACTGACCAGAACAAAAGGTTTGAATGAACTATGCAAAACCTTAATATGCACACCCAAGCCAATAAAATGACAGAATTGTGTCATCAATCAAGAAAACCAATAGGTTAGATATAAAAATTATATTCATTAATTAGTAAGGAAGAAAACAAATGTCATTCATCAAAGAGGTACTTCATGATCAAAGCGTTAAATAATATTTATATTTGGTAAGAGATTAGTTGGTTGCACTGAACATTTCTGAGTTAATTTACACATGATTTGGGTGTCTTTTTCATGACCAGTCTTTAGAATGAGCAATTGAAAGAAGTGATCAGTAAATGTTATTGATATTTGTGATTCCCAATGACGACTGTTCAGCTGACGAATTCCTCAAAAGGATTAAACGATTCCAACAGATCTATAAAATTCGCATTACACTTCTAGGATATGATATTGTGGAGAAAAGATGATGATTAATTGCAGAGATCGATTTGTGAAAAACCAACCTCCACTGTACAGTTTATTAACCTCAACATTTGGTTACCTCTTAGAAGGAAGAGAACCTCCATTCATTCTTTAAGTTCTAGAATCATGAAGCTTTGCAAAAGAGGTTAAGTTGACAGTAAATTTAATGCTCTCCAGACACTGTTATTTTATAATGGATATCCTCAATGATGAGAAGGGTAAACCCTAAGTAGCACTATATTACGAAAGAAATTCACAATTCAAAGGGATTACGTATTTTCTATTCTGTTAGCTCGTATTTAGTTTTCGCAAAACTACCGTTAATTCAGTAATGCTTGAAGAACAGTTTATCGTTTACGTCCACTTCAATGGTATATTTATCACTTTGCATGCTTTTGCGTAGCTTACTACATATGACGTTGTAAGTGGGCCGTTTGAAAGCGCTTTACTAAACACCTTCCAGTTTGATGATGGAATAGTTAACATAGAATAACAAAATACTGGCTATGCAGACAATCTATGGAGTTGGAAAATTAGCCTCCTTTTGATTCATCTTTCAAAGTGATGTACAGAGTTAAAGTAAAACACTGTAATGACTAACGCTTTTATCACCTGTTTATGGCAGCAAAAATAGAATTCTGTACCTCCTTCTCTTACCTTCGTCCGAGTAATACTCTATAAAATTAACTTTATTCCATTTCACTTTTTAGTCTTCTCGGTATATTAAATAAAGTTATTTATATATTGCTGTCGCCTTTTCACCCTTTTGACAGCATAAGATTTATTCACTAACTTCCAAAATATATTTCTTCCCTTGACGACACTTCGTGTAATTTTGTTCTCTTCGAGAAACTTCCTCCTCTTTACCTTTATCATGTGTATATTTACTGGTGCAACTAACTAATTTCCCGTTGTTGTACAGGGTAGAACTGCTCGACATCTGTTGGCAAATGAGCGCCTATGTGGATCCCTTAATACTGCCCAGACATCCATCATATTGTGGTCTGTTTAATGGGTAACATTGGAATTCCTCCTTGGGATTCATCAGATGTATGTACCTGCACCTCAGTGAGTGATGTTGCCCCCATGAGAACTTAAACTCACTACCCATTGCTTAAAACGCCAAAGTGTTAACCACTAGGTCACTCGGGCATGAGGGCCACCACTTGTGCAACAGATTTTAGTTGCAGTCGATATACAACAACAGTGGATATCATTTTCCTTGAGTTTGTAGATACGCCTTGCTGATGAGTGCCAAACAAGGACGAAACTTGGGTCAAGTAGGACTTGCTGCCAACTGCCCTCAAGCAACCAATATCCATCACCACGATGGTGAGCCACTTAGCTTAACAGCCACATTGTAAAAGGACTAACAGAATTTGGCCAGTCCTCCGGACTGGAAAACATGACACTTCTTACTCTCTACTGACCAACTGATATAAAAATTAGATTTATTAAATCCAGCACTAGGTCAATTACCACACCTTTACGATTTATCTGAAATACGTAAATCAACGTGTTTCATGCTTCCTATCCTATGCGTGTATAATTGACCAACACATAAATTTACCCGATGCCAAGTGAAATTATTGGAACCCATTAAGAAACGATGATGTATGAATGCCATAGAAGATAAGTTTGATAGTACCAACATTGAAAATAAAATCACTTATTGATTTAGTGCTAATTATTTATCCGACATGAGATCAAGGTAGATCACACCTTTTCTGTAATATATCGTATCCCTTTCAATCTCCTTAAAGGTACACAACTACGCGTCTTATCCATAGCCGAAGCCATCAACACAAGAAAACTGGACCTATGTGTTCACAAGATATATGTACATTCACTCTGTTTCCAAGCTGTTATTCATCGTAGATTGACATCAGTTGGAGAAACAAAGGAGACCTGGGAGCACTAGACAGCTGTTTCGTCCTAGTATGCGACTCCTGAGCAGTGTGCAACCACGACCCCGCCCCACCAGTGATCGAACCCAAGACCTTCAGGTCCCATGGCCAGCACGTTACGATTGAGCCACTGGGTCAGAATCCAGTGGTCTATATTTCCAACATCTGTCAGCTCACGATATAGAGCGATCGTCACCCAATGTCATCGTTGAGTAACTGTCCTCACGACCATCTGTTTTCCTTGACCAACAACATGGTCGACAAATTCCTTATGAACTCTCCTACCACAAACTGCACATTTTAACCTTCCACCCTTTTCTTTTATATTGTCATTATGTTGGTAAACATTCATTTTCTTATGTTATTAGTTTTATGCCCTTCTTTATTCATACAACTACCTTTAGCCATTTTCAACCGTGACGTAACACTTCACATTTGTTATTCTCTGTTTCATTATAGTATTCACATGATTTTCATCTCACTTGAATATAATTCATCACTACATAATTATTATTTGACCCGTAGTAAACAAACATACACATTCATGCCCCAATAAGTGCATACAACGTTTTTGAGATGAATGGGGATTTTAATTTAGAAGTTGCACTCATCATAGACCGATATCAGTTGGGGAACCATTGGAAATCTGAGAGCACTTCACAGCTGTTTCGTCCTGGTATGAGACATCTCAGAAGCTATCTGAAGACCTTGGGTGATAGTCACGCTATATCGTGAATTGACGGAAGTTGGAAATTGTGAACCATTGAAAACCGGCCCAGTGGCTGAACGGTTAAGGCGTTCGCCGTGAAACCTGAAGATCCTCAGTTCGACCCCTAACCGGGTAGTGTGTGTGTTCTTCTGAGGAGTCCTATACTAGAACGAAACAGCTGTCCAGTACTCCCAGGTTTCCAATGACTCCCCAGTCTGTGATGAATACGGCCTCTAAATTATTATCCCTATTCATCCTAAAATACATAGTTTGAATATTCTTTATCATCAACTGGGCGACCTGTTAATCTTCTTACGTTACCTATTATTACTGTTACCATTCTTTCCTTGAAATTTCTGTTGAAACACGTATATAACTAAAAATTCTAAGCATGCTTTGTTAACCTTATCTAAATGTTTGTATTCTCCGTTGAATTATTTCGTTTCTTGTAAACTAATTCCACGTAAATGTAAAAAAGTGTTTGTTCTAATTCCTTTTGTGATATTTGAACTTTTTTACGTTGTAAGCAGCTGACGAGAAACCGACGAAGCAAAATGGTGCCATATTGTTTTGTTCTAATCGTTGTTCTTTCTCTTCTCATAAAGTGGAATTTGCGTATGGTCAGACTACTCGAAATGTATTACAAGATTTTAAACGAATTAAGTCATTTTATTAATGATGTATAGTGGTTAGCAGTAGAATCCAGAATGAGCGTTCCGTCCTATTTCGGACTCGTCAACCGGATGTACCTGCCTCCCAGTGAGTGATGTTGCCCCACCGGGACTCGAACACGGGGCCGATCGCTCCAAAGGCCAGAGCGTTATCCAAGACACTCCTTCTCATGCGACGGATATAGTTTTGGCATAATTGCTTGTGTTATACCGTCGTTGATTGGACCGGATTGATTAGTCTCTAGTGGCATACAGGCCCCTGTGAGGATGCCTCGATATTAACTGTGTTTTAATTGTAGTAATGATGGATAGTGGCTAGCAGTGGAGTCCAGGATGCCCGTTTCGTCCTATTTGGGACTCGTCAGCTGCATGTACCTGCCTCCCAATGTGTGATGTTGTTCCCTCCGGGGTTCGAACTCAGAACTGATCGCTTCAAATGCCAGGCAACAATACCAAGTCATTTTATTGTTTTATCAAGATTTTATTTTCCCATATGTTGGTTTGCCTTGTTTAAATTCGATACGATTGTCCAGTAATCTCTACCGAAGGATGAAAAACTTTATTCCTTATGTCTCAAATCAGGTTCCATAGGCGCGAAAATCATGGCCAGAATACTGACACGTATGATGTTTCTTATCTAATGGAGTATAAGTACCAGAAAAACTACAGATATTCTTAGTCTATGAGTCAGTGGATATGAATAACCTTAAATTCTCGTGAAAATAAAACTTTATTTTATATCTAGCTAGTGTCTGACATCCATGATGTCTTTCTGTTAACGATATTGACGAACTGAACAGATTTGAGAATGAGAACGCTACACATTATTATCCTGGTTATTAACTAATCACATTGTTTGACATTAAGAAGCATTAAAAGTAATTTCTCTTAGAATTCACTTAATTTTACCTGAAGCCATTGAACCGCATATAATTATCTGATATAATGATAATGAGAATTCTGAGTCTGCATTAAACTGGAAATTTTCAAAACTGCTATGATTTGTAAAATTGACTGGTATACAAACTCCACCAACTGGTATAGTTGGATAGATTGGCAGTATTGGGCATAATGATGCATTTAAAATACGAGGTTGTGATCTGAAAATGAGGTAAAAATGAAAAGGAAATCTTTTTTATAAATGATAGTTGTTTACAAACAAGATAATATATGAATATAGGCTTTGTCAGTTATCAAACACATGGAGTCAATCGTCAGGGATAAGAATAGTAGACCAATAGGTATTTGCTAGACCTCAAGACGTATATCTATGTGAAAGTACAATTTGACCTCAAATCTTGGTCACATTCATAACAAATCGACAGAAAACTATAAGTCGACCCAATTCGAAACTTATTCATCCTCCTTTTCAAGAATAAACTTATATTTCCTGGGCTACTTAGTCTGTACGTTAGCTTACTTTATGCAGGACATTTTTCTAGGGGCTGGTATTTCACACTTTTCTCAGCTCTTTGTATGTACTGGCTTACCATCTAGTCTCAGAGGTTATAACTTCTGCTTACAACCGAAAACATTCAGCTGAGTTGATCCATACTGATATATGCTTAAACCTACCATTAGCCTGATTTATGCTTTGATTCAAATTTGCCTTTGAACACCAGTTATTTGTCATTCCAGTCGAAAACAAGGATCAACAAAAAGTAATTAAGCGAAATGAAATACATATTCGTCCAGTAGACAATGAACTACACCTATTGTGTGAAGGCTAATGGTATTGTTTACTGCCAACAAACGTCACTAGGTGAGGCGGGGTTCGAACTTATGACCACCTAAACCAATGAATCATACCTACTTGCGTCTTGCAGTAAAATTTCATTCGTATGATCTTAACTTTCATTATTTTTTAAAACCCTATCGCTCAATGACATTTCAATGGGTAGTTTCAAAATGCCACCAAAAATGGTTCTGATAGGGACAGTATGTAACTCTTGAGTTTTACTCCAATTCTTCTGTACATATAGTCAGTATAATAATAAAGCCGTATATATTACAGTTAAATAATGACATTGATAAATCTTCCTGGGTGATGCAAACCAATTCAGACGTGAAGACATATACCTAAGGATGGAATTGGATGGAGGCTGCAGTATATTGTGAATTAACAGAAGCAGAAAAGTGTGAACCATTGAATTCTGACCCAATGACTCAATGGTAACATGCTCACCACGTAACCTCAAGGTCATAGGTTCGGTCTTTTCTGTGCACCACTAAGGAGTCGTATATTGGAATGAAACATCCGTGCAGCACTCCCGGGTTGCTAATGGTTCTTGAACTAATTTCAGTTCATTATAAATACCAACTTCAAATCAATAATCTAAAATCTTCACTCTGACATCTTTTCATTCAGTTAATTGTCTTAGCAAATTTAAGTGAAGTTAGAACAAATAAACTTGTAGAATAAAATTAATTTTTCTCTCATATTCTTATGTTCTCCTTATTGAAAAACAATTGGCTATAAAGTGTTTTTGAGATGAGTGGGGATTATAATTTAGAGGTAGTATTCATCATGGACTGAAGTCAGTTGGGGAACCATTGGAAATATGAAAATACTAGACAACCGTTTCGTCCTAGTATGGGACTCCTCAGCAGTACGCACCCACGAACCGGCTAGGGATCGAACTCAGTACCTTCAGGTGTCACAGAGAACGCATTAGTCATTCAGCTACTGGTTCGAAGTTCAGTGGTTCACCGTTTCCAACTTCTGTCAATTCACAATATAGCATGACTATCACCTAAGGTCACGCTATATTGTGAATTGACAGAAGTTGGAAACGGTGAACCACTAAATTCCGAACCAGTAGCTGAATGCCTAACGCGCTCTCTGTGACATCTGAAGGTACTGAGTTCGATTCCTAGCCGGTTCGTGGGTGCGTACTGTTGAGGAGTCCCATATTAGGACGAAACAGCTGTTCAGTGCTCCTAGATTTCCAATGGTTTTCCAATGCTAGCCACAACCAATCAATTTATCGTAAGGACTTGATAGTTAAAAATGGTTTGTCAAGCATGACAACACAAATAGTGTCAATAAATGAGCAGTCAATAAAATCAAAAGAAAACTAAAAAACTGATAAGTGGTGAATATCAATCAAAATAAGTTTGAACAAGAAGTTTGGAAATTGAATTGTGATCAGGCAGAACATAGCAACAGGAATGAGTACGAAATTTCTTAAGAAGTGAATAGAAGCTTGGCATTCAGGTCAGTCAGCAATTAATAGATGTATAGACAGCCACAATCTGTCAGCCAATGAGAAAAATAATAAACGACAGCAAGGTCAGAGGTCAAACAGAGGAACGGCCAACAGGACAATCTGTACAATCAATGACACAACAATCAAAGGAAACAACCAATCACAAACCTAAGTCACCCACAGAGAAATATTGACAGCCCACTTCATAGTGAAGTTAGTGCTGAAGATGAGGTCTAGAAAGACGATGAAAGCTCCACGACTAAACAACAGCTCAGAGAACACAATATAACCAAGTGAATAGTGTCGAAATAGAAAGATGAAAAGAAAAAAGGGGGGAATAGAGAAGACTTAAAAACTAAGACCATGAAAGGAGAAGTTGAACAATCTTCTTTTGCACACACAGTTCAGGCTTCTGCATTTGGATGGCAAGAGCTTCGGCGATGCAAAGAATATGAAGACATACAACTGTTGGAAGGTTTCTTTTCACTTTATAAATGACTTTAAATTAGGAGGTTTTTGAGATAGGGTGATTTGTGTTCACGATGTGTTAAATCATAGGACTGCTTATCTCGCCACTGTTACCTCTTTGTAACCACACGGGATAGGGTTCTTGAACGCTTTTGGATAACAGTCTCATCGAACAGCCTATATTTATGGCTCCACAAGAGCAGGTGAATTGATATATGCACATGGAAGTGGTCAGATGCGAAAGTTTCTACTTTGAGTTGTTAGAAATCGTTGAGCAACAAGAGGTTACTAGTCTCACCGTTGATGCAAATAATGTCCTCCTTAGAGTGTTTGATATCCTCCATTTTAGAGTGTCAGTGGCAGAATCACTTTTGAAGTTGATGTTCTTTTTTGGCACAGTGGTAAGGTTCTCTTTGCAAAGTTTAAGTTCGATGTGTTTGTCTATGATGCATGGTGGGAATCCGTTTTCAGTCAGCATGCTCTGTAGAACATAAATTTCTTCTTTCTAACACATTATGATTGCAGATTCGTCTAATGCGAGTGGCAAGAGATATGATCATATTTCGCTTATGACTCATCGGGACCCAGCTATTAAATAAAGTTCATCAGTTAACCATTCTACATTGATTTTCTGTACAGCTTTGAAAACGAAATCGCCGAAAAGAGACTCTTCGCTAGAATACTTGTTCTTCTTTCAAATCATTGTGGGTATATTTATCATATAGAAAAACTATTCTGTCCTCATGTTTCTTACTTCTATAATAGCGTTCTCACCCAACAGAAGATATTAAAGTCTTTGTAAAAGTGGATTTACTGAAGTTCTAATGAGAAATCATGATCTAAGGGATCAACCAAATCAAATGTAGGAATAGATGTCCATCGATGACAGCTAAAGGTGATCACAATGGATCGTGACTTTCCAGAAGTAGAAAAGTGTGAAATATTGGATTCCGACCCAGTGGCTGACTAAAATTGGGCTCACTTCAAGACTTTACAGTCCTGCGTTTTATTTGATACAGTCATTGATGCACATTTCTCATACAGATAATATCAAAGCGCATAATGCTATGTACCCTTTCAAGTTGTACGACTTCACATCAGCACATCAACATAGAAGGCAACACGGCGAACTTTAAACAGTATAGACCATAGTTGAAGATTATCAGATAAAATAAAAGAAGGGTGAAGAGAGTGAAGATATATGGTCATTAAATTTTTGGATACATCCATTAAGATATAATTAGTTCTGGCAAGTACCACTTAAGATTTCATTGGATTCATTTTCCACATCTTGAAAGCTTCATCTAGCAAGATTATTATTTATTATTTGTCCTTTGGGTTCCTAGTGGAACATACGGCTTCAGAAGCCTGTCTCCATTCCACTCTGTTCTCTGCAGTTTTTCAACTTGGCACAATGACTGCCCACAAGCTTTCATTTTCTCCTCACATGATCTTCTCCATGTCACCCTCACCTTGGACACCCAACTCGACGTTTCCCATTTGCCTTGCACTCGAGGGCCTGGCCTGGCGCATGGTGTCCCCAAACCGTGCTCTCAGTGTATATCTAATCAAATCCATTTCCACTTTCTCCTTCTGCACATTCGTTGGGCGATGGGTTCATGGTTGGTTTGTTGTCAGCCAGCCAGAGTTCCTTGTTGCTTATTCTTTCTGTTCATCTGATCTTCAGTATCGAGTGGGCAAGCGTAGGCGGCAGCTGTTGATGAATGTCTGTAGTTTGTTGGAGATGCTTTTCGTGACTGGCCAAGTCTGTCAATCATCACATAGAAGCACTGACTTGACTGACATTAGAGTTGAAAATCCGTATCTTGTTTACGCTTCATGCTGAGTGGAGTGGAGTGGATCTCTACACTGATTTCAGATTGGTGAAGGAAGGCCTGTCTTGCTTAGTGATCCTGGCTTTGACATTCCTCATCTGTGCCTGTGTCGTCTGTAGTTGAAACGATGCTGCCTAGGTAGATGAAAGAGACTACTTCCTTTAGGTTTCTCCCATTCATGGTGATTGGCGCTTGTTGTTGTTGCTGTTGGTTGGGTATCTTCATTACCTCTGTCTTCTCTGCATTCACTTGAAGTTCTGTCTTCGGTGCCTCTTCTGTCAACTTGTTCATTTTGTTCGTTTTTGTAGATCTGTAGATCTTCGAGTTTGTGCCACAAAATATTAGACATAAATCATCGGCGAAATTTAAATCTTCTATGGTCTTTTCATCAGTCAAATAGCTTATGCCCATCTTCTCGATCCTCACGGTTTGCTGCATGATCCAGTCCACTACAATCAGGACGATCATGAGTGATAGTAGGCAGCCTTGTCTTATTCCTGTCTTCACTTCAAAGGCATCTAGCAAGACACCACTAACTTATATGTTTTAGAATGAAATCTGTCATCTTTTTACGTCTCTGACAAGTCG